AAAAAAAAAAAAAAAAAAAGGTCTATTGTATGACTCTTGGCACTGAAGAAAAGAGCAGGCCTGTCAGAACTCTGTTTCAGATTTAATTTTCAAGTGGGTGATATGAGAATGCTGTCCAACAGGAGGGCTTTGCTCATTTTCTCGTCCCTGCTCATCTGGGGGCTGCAGAACTTCAGTTTTCAGAATTAGCTCATATTTATGACACTGAAGCATCTTTTCTCTGACACCCTCTTCATTAAAAGATATTGTGTTCTTATGCAAAGATTAGGATGGCCTTCAAATGAATGTGGCTTCCTGCAATAAAAGGAAAACATTCTTGACTATGTACACAGTATATGTTCTATATATAATGTATATATACAGTTGTTCTCAACATCTATAGGAGATTGACTCCAGGGCCCACCCTCTTAGGCACCCCAATTTGCAGATGCTCAAGTCCCCCGTATTACATGGCATAGTATTTGCATATAACTTATGCACATCCTCCTGTATACTTTCTCATTTCTAGATTACTTATAACAATGTACTACAGTGTAACACAGTGTAATACCTAAAAACGATGTAAGGCTATGCCAATAGTTGTCATAGTTGTTTAGGGACAATGACAATAAGAAGAGCCTGTACGTGTTCAGTACATACAATTTTTTTCCTGAATGTTTTTGATATGCAGTGGATTAGATGGCAGATGAGGAATCATGGATATAGGAGACTGTGTATATATTTTTTCAGAGCATGTTCTTCGAAGAGTTTACTATTCTTTTTGCTCCTCATGGTTTAGAAAATATAGGTCTGGAGACATTGTGCCTGACTCATGCATTCAGAACTTACTTCTAGGTATAGATGTCATGAAAATTAAGCAGGAAAAACTTGTTTATGAAGATGTTGTGTCTTAATTTTACCCTTGGACATGTGAGCAGCCATCTTTCCCATCATATGTGTGTATATATCATTGTATGTGAATATATATATATATATAATATATATGCATACAATGATATATATATATTCACATACAATGATATGTATATTCACACACATATTTTTGGTCCTCCTCATCTGTCTTCTCTTGTTTTTAAAGATTACATACTTTATCAAAAAGAGAGAGAGAGGGAGCCAGCAGCTGAGCATTATACTCAGCCCCAGGATCCCTCTGTGCAATGAACAGCTGATAAGGTTCTGGGCTGGGAAACCTTCTCACAGTGTCACCAACCATCCATTCACCTGACCAGGATGGCTTTGCCCTCAAACCACTTGCTTGGATCCTACATCCAGTGTCATCTATTTTGGGTAAAACAACCCTATTTCCTTTTTCCTGCTTTCCAGGGTTCCCCTAATGCCCTGAAGAGGGATTTTGTTTTGTTTTGTTTTTCCATAGTGGGAGATTTAACATGGAGACCACAAGCTATGGATTGCGCCAGGCTGGTTCCAAGATGAAACCAGACTGTGAACAAGAAGATCAGTCTCTAGAAATAGACACAGATAAACCCACCTGGCTCTCCACTACCCAGTCACGGCGAGGAAGCCCTGCTTAAAGGGAATGTCCTAGTTCATGGCTCCTGTGGATGCAGCGTAAGCACAAGCGGGAAGCCTTCACCCTTAGAAGGCAGTCCATGGTGACAGCAAACCAACCCCAAATGACAGCCTTCCATGGAACCTTCTGGAATGTGACTCATTACCACCAAGGAGTCTTTGCTGGAAGCCTGCTATGTATCATATATCTTCATTACCCCCGTATTCTCTTTCTGTGGGAAGGTAAATTATAGGCAAGGTTTAGGCACTCTGATGTATTAATTGAGAGCTTTACTTTAAAGATTGTCAAATGTTTGTGATTCAGCCTCACAGACTGGGTTAAAATTGCAGTGCTGAGGGTGAGGTTTAAATTAGTATAATTATCTCTGTTATTATTCAAGCAAGCAGTGAGAAATGAACATTATATGACAGTATCTGCACTTTAGTGGACTGTGGGGAAGAGTGAATTTGTTGGATTTACGGAAGCCTGAGAACCACAGGGGAATTCTGCAGAATATTTAGGGACCAGAGCTGATTTCACTGCATACAAAATCCTTCCTGGACTTAATTCTTTTTCGGTGGTGGTGGGAGGTTAGAGGCACTTGGCCACTAAGCCGCATCCCCAGCCCTATTTTGTATTTTATTTAGAGCATCTTGCCGTTGCTGGGGCTGACTTTGAACTCACTATTCTCCTGTCTCAGCCTCCCGAGACAATGGGGTTATAGGCATGCGCCACTGCGCCTGGCCTTTCCTGGGTTTAATTTTAATAAAATTATCACTGAGAAAATAAGCCACCAAAGGATAACATGTAGACTTTGGGAAAGAGCTGTCCAGTGGAAATATAATGTAATTCATATATGTAATATTAACTATCCTCTGGACCACATTAGGAAAGGTAAAAGAGGTAAAATGAATTTCCTTAGTAAATTTTATTTAACCGTATATGTCCAAAATATTATTTCAATGTTACTCAATATTTTAAAACTATTAATGAGATATTTTACATCTTTCTTGCTTGTGAACACTTGGAAATCTTATGCATATTTTAGCTTATAGCACATCCAAATTCAGACCAGCCACATCTCAGGAGCTCAATGGCTGTGTGTGGCCCGTGGCCACTATTCTGGTGCAGCTTTAGGTGAAGCCTGGGGTTAGACAGAGCCTCCTGCCTTGTTTATCATCTTTTGGTGAGGGTACTGTTTCCCCAGAGCCAGGTCCTGTGCCTTGAATATGTCAGTCTCCTCCAAAACTCAGGTTGAAATGTAATCCCCAGTATGAGATATTAAGAGAGAGGACCAGGTGAGAACTTTAAGGAGTGATTAGGACTCTGCCCTCACGAATGGATTAATGGGTGATTTTTGACAGTGGGTCTGCTATTAAGGCCCCCTTGGTTAGGTCTCTTGTGCAATACCTGTCTTTTGCCACTTGATACCCCTGTGCTGTCCTGAGCCTCTGCTAGCAAGAAGGCATCACCACATGTGGGTCCAGAAGAATGAGCCAAATAGACCTCTGATCTTTATAACTTACCCAGTCTGTGGCATTGTGTTACTGGCAACAGAATATGATCTTAGATGCTAGGTCTGACCTGTTTCATGAGGAGGCTAAGGGTGGGTGTCTCAGCTTATCCATGGGAGCTTGGCTTCCCTGTGACTTAGAGGAAGATTGGTGTCTTTCTTCTGCCTCTTCCAGATTCTTTCCCAAGACCCCTCCCAGACTTCAGTTCTTGTGAAGGGAGGGAAGAAACTCAGAGAGTCGCGCTAACTGATGGGACTTGCCCATGGTACCGGAAGCCAGCCAGCTGTGCTCATCCAAATCCCTTTCTGACACCCAGTCATTGCAGGGGTTTGGGACTGTCTTTCTGTGTGACCCCCACCCGGGGCAGGGGATATAAGAGTGAGATGCTGTGCAGGCTCCCCTGGGAGACTCCTCAGCCTCCGAAAACCTAGACATGGTACAGGTGAGGACTTGGACCAGGTGTCTCCTGGCTTCTTAGTGGCAGGACCAAGATGGGGCCTATGACTGTGCTCCTGTTTGGGGTCACCAAGCTGCCCTCAGGGTCGGCTCTCAAACCAAGCAGGCATGAGGGCTCTCCCACCTAGAGCTCTCTCACCTGAACATATCAGGCTCAGAAATGGCTGCTACTCTGGGGTCACAGCAGAGTCACCTCGGGTTTAAATATACCATGTGTTTCAACTAGGCTGACACCTGGGGTTTAACTCCTCGCTAATTGGAACTGAATCTCTGGGTTGGGGCATCGATATTTTCTAAAAGCTGTTGAGGTGATTCTAACGTAAAGACAAGACTGAGACCCGCAGGAAAACATTGCACATTCTTAAACGATCTACTTATTCAATATTTAGTATTTATTACTGTTTTTCAAACTCAGAGAAGTTATAAGATTAGTATGAAGATGTCTTTTATATTTTTCATCTATATTCCCCAATATGACCCTTTTACCACATTTGCCGTATTACTTTCTCTCTTAATTGCAACCAAGATCTCCTTTATTCCTAAATATCCCTGTGTGTACCTTAACAACAAGGACAGTTTCTTGCATAACCAAGACAATGATCAAAATTAGGAAATTGTGTTGCAATATCATTTTCCAATCTACAGACCTTAATCATATTCCATTAGTTTTGTGTATGTGTATGTGTGTGTGCGTGTGCGTGTGCGTGTGCGTGTGCGTATGTGTGTGTGTGTGTGTGTGTGTGCATACATCTCCATCCTTTCACGTCTGAGGTCATTTGGTTCCAGGACTCCTCATGGGTATCAAAATCCTCTGATGCTCAAGTCGCTTATGTAAAATGGTGTCATATTTGCACATAAGTTATGAGCACCCTCCTGTCTACTTTAAATCACCTCTAGATGATGTTTATCACCTGATACAATGTAAATGCTATGTAAATAGCTGTCATTCTTTATCACATAGGGAATAATGATCAGGGGAGAGGTCTATGTATTCAGTACAGATACAGTTTTACCCCCAAATATTTTTGTTCAGTGATTGTTTGAACCAATGGGTACAAAATCCACAGGTATGGAGAGCTGACTGTAATTTCAGAGCAAGAGAAAATCCCAGATCACACTTGGAGTTGTTGTGTACCTATAGGCTTCCTTTATCCAGGAGCGCCTCCTCCATCTTATCTTTCCTGATATTGGCTTTTGCTACAGTTCAGATACTGAATGTCTTCCAAAGGCCCCCAAAGCACCAGGCATTAAGGGCTCCCCAGGGTGGGGCCATTGGGAGTTGGTGGAACCTGCAGAAGGTGGATCCTAGAGGGAGGTCTTTAGGTCATTGGGGGCATGTCCTTGAAGGGGACTGTGGGACCTTGGCCTGCCCTCTGTCTCTGTTTCTTGGCTCCTGGTGTTTACTCCACCATGTGCTCCCTGCTGTTGCCACTGCTCAAAGCAGTGGTCTTGGACTGGGACCTCTAGATTCATGAGCTAAATAATTTTTTTTTCTTTATGTGGTTAATTGTCTCAGGTATTTTGTTGTAGTGATGAACTACAGGCTAAAACAGCATTCTTGAAGAATACTTGATGGTTATTTTATGGAATGCCCCTTGGTTTGTATTTGCCTGATGTTTCTTCCTGGTTGTATTGTTATGTATTGGGGGGCGGGACTGTCACAGACAAGGTGTCTTGTGCATCACTTCAGGCAGAAGTGAACTTTTGGTTGAGGTATATCACGGGCCTCTCTTAGGTCAAAGGAGGCATCATCATCCCTATCTCTTGTGTTAATTGACCCTCTTACATGATCATTTATCTAGCAAGGCTGGAAATGTCTTGAACTTAGGACATGTAAGTCTTAGAGAAAAAGAAGGAAATTTCCTGGATCCTGGTGGATTGGCAAGGGGGGACTTCTGAGAAGACGGAGTCAAAGTTGTCTGGTGTTAGGATGAAGTGAGGAGAGCGTCAGGCCTGGACGTGGCTCCGGGTTGGGTAGGAGGTGACTGCCCACTGGGCTCTGCTGGGGCTGCCTGTGCCCATTGTGCCTATTGCTGCATCTCAGTGTTTCCTGTTCAGTTCTTCCTCAGAACAGACTCCCTCTGTCCAAGCTGTGGCTCACCCTGCAGCTCCATCTGAGTCTTCCCCTGGGATTGATGACATTCAGAGTAACTCTAGGAATCCTTTCCATGAGGTGATGTCCCACTGAGCACTCCTGGTAGGTCACCTTGTGTGCTACCCACCGCTCACCTCCAGGTCAGATGTCATGCTTGTGCCTCTTACCATCTCCAAGGGCACTGCAACTTGCCAGTTGCAAGCACAATCTTTGCTGCTGGTGAGGCTCTCATCCTGCGGATCAGACTTACCATTTGACTTAATAAATGACCGAAACATGGCTTTCCTTCTACCTGTGCATGGAGGCTGAGAAGCGGTGTGGTCTCTTCTGTCCACCTGACGTCTCAGGCCTTCTGCTCGCCCCTGCACAGAATTGGAGGAAGACAGGGAGATTTTCTCTCTGCACTGTTGTTGTTGATTTTCCTGCTGGTGATGGTCTTGGGCTCCTTATCAAAACCTGTTGTTCCCTTCCCTCTGTTCACTCTTCTTACTTAATCTGTGGGCTTTCACCTGGGCTTCCCGTGCTGCTGGAGGAACACGGTCTGTTGTGGAGACTGTGGCCACAACAGACAGGTTCCCCAGCCTTGGGGTGCCCCTTGCTGGGCCGCTTCATACCTTTGAAGAAAAGGACAACTAATGGAGGTGATAAGAATAAAGGTGAATGTTTGTACAGAGCTGATGCTGGGCAGAGTGGTTGTTATGGTGGGGAACTGTGTCCCCTCAACAGCAGCAGATTGGAGTCCTAACCCTTGGTACCTCAGAATGTGACCTTATTTGGAGTCAGAGTCTTTACAAAGGTATTCAAGTTAAAATGAGGTCATCTGGGTGGGCCCTCTTCCAACAGGACTGGTGTCCTTACGAAAGGGGAAACTTGGACAGAGACAGACGTGCACACAAGGAGAATAGCACGTGACACAGGAGCTGTGCTGCCAGGAGCCAAGAAACTACCAGCAGCCAGGAAAGAGGCTGGGAGCTGAGTCTTAGAGTCTTCGAGGGAGCACGGCCCAACCCACACCTTCCT